AGAACACATGATTCTACTTCAGGAGGCAAATTCAGAGGAACTGTGCCCAGATGGGGCCTGGCTCCCCCACACACATAACAATTGGTCTTATTGTGTGAATTGGCATTATACCTCATCCATTCTAGCCATAAATTAGTGTCTGAAAAACCAGTTTCCACTGCCATAGTGTCTTCAAAGGTGGGGTTGGCTATAGCTACCATGTCATGTAGGGTCTTAATATGTGGTTTTAACGGGTTAACGATCATGTGAGTGGTCCCCACCCAGTCGGGGGAGGTGAGCATGTCTTGTAGGTAGAATGTCCCCAGTGCATTGTGTGAGCCACCTCCCTTCCAGTACATCCCCATCACATATTCCCCCGAGTCCCTTGGACTAGGGTGTTCTATATTCAAGGTAAGTTTAATGGGAGTTGACCCTGTGGGTTTACTAAGAGTCATTCTAGAAAGTAGGGGCTTCCCGTCTTTGTCAAGTCTGTCTAGTGCAACCTGAGGTCTGTAGCCCCATGGTCTACCTGTATTCCACCCGGCAGCTTTCCATGAACTACAGTGGTGTCCCCAAGCTCCTCCAGTCACACAAATGTATGGGTCCTTTTTGTCAGGTATGTCCTTGTATATGGCTGCATGTTGTGTCTGTGGGAATGTACAGGTAACTATGTCACAGTAATCAAAGGTGTATGTAACTACATCAGTATCAGAAGAATTGTACCAGAAAGTGTAAACATGATTATCTTTGGTTATGGCCACTTGTTGGGCCCAGGCAAAATGCAACAATATAAGAAAACACGAGACACATAATAAATTCATGTTTCAACAAGATCAGTTTCTTCTGGAGCAGGCACTTTTTTGCAATGTGAAGCGTGTATCCAGGAACTTTTTCCAGCTAGTTTAACTGACGTTGCTGTAATCAGGAGCACTTGATAAGGACCATCAAATCTCGGTTCTAGGGTGTGTTTCCTGAGGAACTTCTTAACCATAACCCAATCACCCGGAAGCAGCTTGTGTGTACCTGTATTTGACTCAGGATCTGGAATAGAAGAAAACACTTGGGCATGTATCTTGGTCAAAGCATGTGAAAGGGCAGTCACATAGTCTACCATAGCGTCTGACTGAATCTGAAGCTGTTGGGGAAAGTAGCAACCTAACCTGGGTGCTGTACCAAACAAAATCTCATAAGGTGACAAACTGTATTTTCCTCTGGGAGTGTACCTTACACTGAATAACGCTAGTGGGAGACTCTCGGGCCAGGGCATGTTAGTTTCTTGTGACATTTTAAGCATTCTGGCTTTCAAAGTGCCATTCATGCGCTCTACCTTACCACTACTCTGTGGGTGATATGGTGTGTGGAATGCAAGGGGCACCCCCAGTGCTGACCAGACTTCCCGTGTTAGCGAGGCAGTGAAGGAGGTCCCTTGGTCACTTTCAATTACTTCTGGAACCCCATAGCGGCAAACAATTTCTGTCAAGAGATATTTGGCTGTAGTCCTCGCTGTGAGATTAGTCACTGGGAAGGCCTCTGGCCATCCTGAAAACATGTCCACCATGACCAATGCATATTCATAACGTCCACTCTTTGGCATCTGAATGTGATCAATCTGGATCCTCTGGAAGGGATATTGCGGCTTGGCTAGGTGATTAGGTGCAGTCTTTATAATCTTTCCAGGATTGCATTTAGCACATATATTACATGACTTACAGTAATTCTGTGTTAAGGTGGTGATGCCTGGTGCTTCGAAATATTTGTCAATCAGTGAATTCATCAGGAGTTTTGACAGGTGAGCTGGCCCATGGGCCCATTGGACCACCGCTGGGTACATACTTCTGGGTAGGCAGAACTTGAGATTAATGGTGTAAACATCATCACGGAGTATAGCTCCTTTGTTCTTCCAACCTTGTTTCTCTTGGGGAGTAGCAGCAGCTTGCTGTTCCTTCAGAAGCCTGAGGTCTGTAGGCAATGTTTGCATAGTATAGATAGGTAGTGTATCTGTGGCCACTCTTCTGTCCACTTCCCATCTTTGCCGTGCTGCTTCTTTAGCTGCTTGATCAGCCAGGTGATTGCCACGTGCTTCTTCTGTGTCTAGTCTTCCATGGGCTTTTACCTTCAGTACTGCCACCTCAGCTGGAAGTTCCAATGCGTCCATCAGCTCTGCAATGGCTGCCCCATGCTTTACTGGGGTACCAGTGGCCGTAAGAAATCCTCTGGTCTTCCAAATTAAGCCAAAATCGTGCGCTACTCCCAAGGCATATCTTGAATCCGTGTAAATGTTGACACGCAACCCTTCAGACAATTTGCAAGCCACAGTTAGGGCTGTCAATTCAGCTTCTTGAGCAGACTTAGTTGGTTGTAGGGCAGCTGCTTGTAACACTTGACATTCTGTGGTAACTGCATACCAAGTGTGATATTGCCCTTGTTCATCAGCAAATCTTGACCATCCACAAATAAAGTTTGGTCCGGGTTGAGTAGTGCAGCTTCATAGACAGTTGGTAGATGTGTAGTTTCCATTTTCATTTGTTCAAAGCAATCATGAGGGATATCGAGGTCACAGTCTGTGGTGAGTGGATCCTCACAGGCTTCTGTATGGTACCTGGGGTACCCAGTTGTACAGTAATTAATAGTCTTTTTGTTGATTCTCGTAGAAGTCAGTTGTTCTGGGGTCATTTGACTCCAGGTTTTGGCCGTCGGGCCTAGGTCTTTCCACGTCCGGGGTTCTGGTGAGAGATATGTGTGGGATCGATGTTTCCCAATGGTGATAGAGATGTGTCACACTCTCTGGGAGGTGGACCAAGATAAGCATGGTACCTGTGAGGTCCCAAAACAAGTCAGTCAGGGTAATTTGGATTTCTTTGAGTTGGAATACTTCTGCCTCGTAATTCATATCAGGGCCTGGTTCATCCCTAATCCACAAAGTGCAATGAAGTAGGGCCATTGATTGTTCATCATGTGGAGGTGCAAGTGCAGGTAGTTGCAGATCTGTTAGAACTTCCGGGTTGACATCCAGGCTGTACCAGTGGTACACAACTCCCCCCTTGGGAAGTGGCAGAAGAGTGGCCGGGTTCAGGGTTAGGCATCTCTGAAGTTTTATGTTGTCAGGTAAAAGCAATGAGGTTTGCAGGCGGAGGTGGCGTTGGGAGGAAAGGTGCTTGGGTTGAACTTGTTGCAGGATAGCAGTAATGTCATGGGGGGCCAACACGGTAAGGTGATGGCCAAGTACAAAGTCATTAGTCTTGTCCAGGAGGGCACTGGCGGCAAACACAGCACGGAGGCAAGAGGGGCTGCCCCTTGCAACAGGGTCAAGCATACAGGAAAAATAGCCAATGGGCCGTTGTCTGGACCCATGTTTCTGAGTAAGGACTCCGGAAGCATGTCCTGATTTTTCAGAGACAAACAAATTGAAAGAGAGTTGATAGTTGGGTAGGCCCAAGGCAGGAGCAGAGGCAATAGCTCTTTTCAGAGTATGGAAACAGTCAATAGTTTCTTCAGTGAGGTGAAAGGGCTCACTTCGAAGTGCATCATAGAGAGGTTGCATGAGTTTGGATGCTTCAGGTATCCAAGACCTGCAGTATGTGATGAGACCCAAGAAAGCATGAAGAGAGTGATGGGTTGCAGGTAATGGGAGTTGCAGGATAGCTTGCACCCGTTGTGAGGTTAGATGTTTGGTGCCATGGGAAAGGCAGTGTCCCAAGAAGACCACAGAGGGCCGGCACCATTGTAGCTTTGATTTTGAGGCCTTGCACCCGGCAGCAGCGAGGAAACATAAGAGATCTTCTGAGTCACGTTCTGCAATTAGCAAATTAGGAGCACAGAGTAGAAGGTCATCAACATATTGTAGTAAAACAACATCGAGATGAGATTTCTGCCAGGGATCCAGAACCAGAGACATGGCATGAGCAAACTGTGTTGGGGAGTTCTGCGCTCCCTGGGGCATAACAGTCCAAGTATATTGTTGTCCTTCATGTGTGAAGGCGAAGAGAAAACGGCAGGAGGGATCAAGGGGAACACTGAAAAAGGCATTAGCCAGATCCACAACAGTAAAAATTGTTGAAGTTGGTGGCACTTGGGACAAAAGGGTATGAGGGTTTGGAACAATAGCAGTGTCCTTTATGGTTACCTCGTTAACAGCACGGAGGTCCTGTACCATACGGTATTGGTCGGGTTGACCCTTAACAGTTCGCTTTTTAACAGGGAAGAGAGGGGTGTTGCATGGAGATGTACACTTGGTGAGGGCACCTTTTGCAAGCAGGGTCTCAACTTGCTTGGTGATGGCTTCAGCTTGTGCTGGCTTCAGAGGATACTGAGGTCTACGAGGAGGGAGTGCACCAGGCAGGAGCTGGACCAGGACTGGGGGTACATGTAAGCGTCCAATATCATCCGGGCCGGTGGACCAAAGTTCTTGGGGGATACGATCCAGGGCACTGGGGGTGTGTGTGACCCGTGCATTCCCTGTATTGTCAGTTAGATTCAACAAAATTGGGAGTGAGCAGAGTACAGAAGTATCCTTCTGTGATAAGGGGGTTGTCAACTCAACCTGTCCATCTGCAGTAAAGGTAATGGAAGCCTGGAGCCGAGAGAGAACATCGGCACCTAGGAGGTTAATGGGGCAGGTGGAGGAAACAACAAAACGGGACAGGATATGTGAGCCTACATGTAAGAGCTTGGTAAGGGGGTTACTGCGTGGTGTACCATCCACCCCAACACAGGAGACATCAGTGTCAGATAGGAAGGAAGGGTCTGGCAGGTCTTGTTCCCTAAGGACACTACGGGCTGCACCTGTGTCAACTAGAAAGGTGGTTGGGTGACCCTCCACGGGGAGAACTACAGTAGCCAAGGGCCCTCCCCCATCCCCTGCAGACACTGCCATGGCAGGGGTTGCTGACACAGGCTTGCCAGTTACCTATTGTAATAAATCTAGGTGGGCTTGATCTGGTCCCTGGTACCGGCGGGAGGTGGAGGGAGGGTTAGCAGTATGCATGGGTGGGCGGGATGGACGGAGGGCATGGCGGGGATGAGGTTGATTGTCTTGGAAGTCATCAGTATCATACCCTTCAGCGGAGGGCGAGGTGTATGCACGGGCTTCTGCTGCGGGGAGCCGGGCTTGGGAATACTCAGGGGGCGGAGGGGGAGGAGGTGGAGGAGGTAACTGAGGCAACTGTGGATGGGGTAGGGCAGGGAGATAACCGGTGGAGGGGAAACTGTAACTGGTGACATGTGGATTTTGGTACCGGGGAGTCTGCTGGCGGAACACTCTAGGGTGTGGGCAATCTCTTCTAAAGTGACCTGGCTGATTACAATTAAAGCAGGTCCGGATTGTCGTGACAGACCGGTCACGGGAGAAAGGAATTGGTGCAGGCAGTGTCTGGGGGGGCTGGGTGTACTGTTGGGGAAGCATCTGAGGACCCTGGCTTGGACCAGCGAATGGGGTGGAGGTAGCATACATCAGAGGACTGGGTCTACGTTGTGTAGGTAGCAAAACAGA